TGAGGCGACTTTTGTTGTGATTTGGCGCTATATAAATAAAATTGAATTGAATTGAATTAAACCCACTGACTGTATTTACATGTCAGATCAAATTTAATTTTTTGGAAAAAACAACAACAACAACAAACAAAACAAAACAAAATAATAAAAAAAACCAACAGTAACATTTTCTTAAATGCAAAAAGACTCTAAAGCACTCTCTGGCAAAGCTTTATTTCTGGGATGAGGTAGTTCATGTTTATGAGTTTTTGTGCATGTGTGTCTGCCTGTTTAAGTATGAAGAAGTCAAGCGAAGAACGAGTTTGTGTCTGTAAGGCTTTAAAGGAGAATGTGGTTGCTGCAATGAAGAGCAGCAGGTAAATCAGCATTCTGAAGTTTGCCCTCTGCATTCACGCAAAGTTTCTGTGCTGCTGAAAACAGATGTTATAACGATGTTATAGACTCACAAGATGAGTCTAACAGATCCCCTTAGGTGGGCAACTCCAGGCATCGAGGGCCGGTGTCCTGCAGGTTTTAGATGTGTCCTTGATCCAACACTGCTGATTCAAAGTGATATCTAAAACCTGCAGGAGACCGGCCCTCAAGGCCTGGAGTTGCCCACCCTTGCCTTAGACTCACCCCTGTTTGGTGCAGTTATTTCTTCTATGTAAAATAGGACAGCTGCCCATTTCATATAACCTTTTATATAGCATTCTGTAAGCTGAATAATATAAACACTGTATCAGGCTAAGTTAACAGTTCATCTGCATGTTTTAATAAAACTTCTGGAGGATTACTGCAGATTTTTTGCTGTACAACACAAATGGTGATGGATGGAGCAGCTACAAAGTTCGCTTTTCGTCATGTCATGAGTTTGTGGATCAAGAACTTTGATAAAGATTTACATATTGTTTCAATAGTTTACTGTTATTCAATCCATGTCACACATATAAAAATATTAGTGCCAAAACACTAAAAAAGAAGCCCAGCCACAAATCAGAATAAGTGAAGACAAGCTATGCCATGAAACCTACTAGATAAGGATGGGGTTTAGTGTAAAGTTAAAGTGTACTCACTCCTTCTTTTTATCAGATTTGGTGTGTGCAGGCCTCTCTTGTTCGCTTGCATCCATTTCGGGCTTCCTGTCTACTTGGTTTTTGGAGAGGAACATGACATGTTTTGTCTCACGCTCCATCCGCTGCACGTAAGCTTTCACGCTTTCCCGTTTGCCCCTCTTGAAATGTGGAACAGGTATGTCTCCATCTAGAAAATACTCTGATTTATCTTCAGGTGAGATGGGTAAAGACACAACACAGTCTTTATTAGTTATACACGACAGTCATGACACTAAAATGAATATTTAGAAACATTTTTTATACCCTTTTTCGGCTTTTTGACTTTTAGGGACCCAGTTTTCATTCTGTCCTTAGCCTTCATTATTTCTCGTAGTTTGAAGGGGATGTGTTGAATGTGGTCCACCTCTTTGGCTTTCTTGGGTTTACCATCTCTCTGGAGCTTGGCATTACTGAAATTTGGACACAATACAGACAGGAAAAAACAAAAAGCAAAGATGTTTGGTTGCAGACACGAGTCCCCACTTAAAACTTTAACAAGTCCGGTTTAATCTGATCGCTCACAACTTGGGTTGGAGCCCGTATCAGCTAGCTTCTGTTGCTAACTAGCTTAACTAGCACATTTTCCATGACGTATTAGCTTCCTCATGGTACCTTTGACGTTGTCCAGGTTTTCCCGCTTGTTTTCCCGAATCGGGCACTTTATTTTTCTTATTCTTCCCCATGCTACAATAATTAACATGAATACATAACAAAGCAAAACAACACACGTGGAGCACTATCCTCAGACTTCAACCGAAACTCTACCAGTGGCACGTAGTAGAGGACAGACATCTCACTCCATTTTTTTTTCAGGTACCAAAACATGATTTACAAGTTTGGCGTATTGAAACAGATTGAAAGCTTCGTGATGAAACTCTTGCTTTGTGAAAAAAACTGATTTAATCAAATTAAATATGTATTGTCAATTTTTTTAATCGCTGTAATTAATGAGACGTACAGTAATTTTATTGCAGAGTGACACACATGAGACATAAGACGATCTTTGGTCAAACCTGATTGGCTCAAGAGACGCTTCCTGTCAGAGCCAGTCATTGGTCACTCCATTCAACGACTCTGCTTCCTGCCACCGCTAGAGGGCATCATTACACCTGCTTTAGCCAGTAACTGTAGAAAACATAGGCCAAACTAATTTAACGTCGTTCAGACAACTCGCTTTGTCTTTAAATAGGCTGGAATGGTGAATATCCCTCTCTCTCAGTGTAAAGAAGTTTAAATGGAAATTTAATTCCTGCAATATCTCAGTATAAGAAAAATAAGTGAGATTTCTACAATTAGTCTTAGTTTTTCTACATCATGAAGATGTACTTTTGATAAAAGAAAAATCTGCCAGCATGACGTTTTTGGGCTTAAATTAATATAAATAAACAGATAAATGTGTAAAATTACAAAAAAAAATTTTTTTTTTAAATTGTTCCGGTATCTCATTACCCAGACTGTCCTGTAATTAAACTACCTCTGGTAAGAGTAGATGTTACAATTAGGTGATGAATGTAGGCCCTTGGGAAATCTGCCCACCCCTGATCTAGACCAAGCTCTTTATCATTTATGGTTGGAATCTACAAAGTTATGCATATCATTTGGACAGCAGTCACATAACATGTAACAGTCATGCGGATCAATAAGTGGCTCTGTCCAGTAAACAATGTGAAGAGTAAATTCTATATTTCTTCATCAGAAATAAATATCATTTGATTGATCAGCTAGATCAAATACAAAAATACAAAGGAAAAAAGTCATGTGTTTCTTATAATGAACATAATAAACAAGCTTCAATGAAACAACCTTCAATTAAAATACCACAGCTGGCTCCTTAGTGTACTGTAGCTAGACAGGTTTGCTCTATTGAATATATCCACTAATCTCAGACATTTGAATCTTTTTTGTACAGGTGACATGAGGAGTTAGTGTCCATACATGTGCCTGAACAGCATGCATCAGCAGTACAGATTGCAGAGCGACGCTGTAGTAAATCTTCACATGAATGGAGCAGGTGTGTTTACCTGTGTGATGAAAGGAGGCTGGGCTGGATTAGCAGCTATAATGCAGCTCAATCTGCAAGACTGCTGATGAAAGGAGAATGTCACGGTTCATGCCAGTAAGTTCTCGGCTTCAGGTGTTACATAATATTTGCCCATAACAGAAAAACAGTGATAATAATTAGCTATATCCTGAGAAAACTCCATAACTCAGTGGTTACATTTGACCATATTTGAAGAGGTTATGGATAAAATACTCAAACAATTCCCGTTCAGAATCATCAGCATTTGTGTCTTCAGGACAGTCTCAGGAACAGGAAACTGCTGCCCCCTCCTGCTGAATGCCAGTCGGCCAATCCCTCATCAATGATCTGCTTGGGTACAAGTGATGATAGAATCATCAGTTTGTTGGCAGGTGGCGTCATAGTCGTCTCTAAGTCTGTGGTGTATAAAAGGACTGCACTAATGCAACTTAATGCAACAGCATTTAACAGCCACTCAGACCTCTTGGACACTACAATCATAATCAACTACCAAGAGAAGCACCACAAGCGGTGAGTTGAAACAACAGGTTAAATCTTTTTTGAATGCTCTTTCTCTTTTTGGACTTATTTTAACACATGCAGTTTATTATTGCTATATAAAAGTTTCCATCTTTATTTGGACTTTACCTGGTAGTATGTTTCTGTATCCATCCAGGCATGTAGTATTAGATTATTAATTAAAACGTAGGTATTTAATAAATTAATTGGAATAGAAATTCAGTCTTTCCTATAGCCTAATATATTTTTTAATACAGTTAATGAGGTGTTAATTCAGTCATATGGAAGACTAGATTATATCAGGGACATTATAAGAAGCATTGAGGTGCTTTTTAATTGTTTCTAATTTTCTGTCACACCTTTGTTTTGCATAATGGAAGGACAACAAATGAGAGTCGCCGAACAATATATGACTGCCTTTAACTATGACCTGAATTTCTAAGAATGATTAAAAAAGCTGAACTTATGAAATTGTTGATTAGAGTGGTCATTGTGTGTATTTGTGTAGCCATGACCTTGCTTATTGTTTATGTAGTCATGTTTTGTACATTATATTTATTGGAGTCTTTCGGCTTTGCATCTGTTTTTTTTTTTGTTTTTTTTTTTAAATATGTCGTTACATCTATGCACATTTACATACAAATTGCATTGCTATTTTTTCCATTTTTTAACTGTAAAAATAAATAAATAAACATTTCAAGCGATTGTCAATGTAGACCTAGAGGCCACTTCAGCACATCCTCACAGTAATCCGATTATGAAGGCGCTTTCAAGCTCGAAGGTATCGCAGCATTTGATTAGTAACATGAGCACACGGCTTGTCTTTATATGAGGATAATTACGTCACAAGATTTTATAACTGTTTCATTCATTGTTGGGCATTTTAATGACACAGTGACTTTTACAGTTGAAACAACAGAAGCATGAATTTGGAGGTGGCCAAACCCGAAGGAAAGACTGGCAACAAAGCTCCCCTCAGAGCCACGGCCCCCGGCTCCCCACGCAAGTCTGCACCCAAGTTCAAACAGAGGAACACGCGGCAGTTCAAGAGCAAGCCTCCCAAAAGAGGAGTGATTGGGTATGTCTCTTTCTGATAACCTCCCACAAGTCATCTAAGTTTTTCAGATGTCCTCCACTAAAGCTTGTTATTTTCTTTCTTTACCAGCTTTGGAGAGGAGATCCCAGGAATGGAAGGTCTTGGAACTGGTAAGTAAAAATATAAAAGTCAGGTGGTTACATAACCAAAACATGCACATGACATGGCCTTTTCTTCCTTTAAAAAACAAAAACCAAAACCAAAAAACCAAAAAACCAAAAAACCCCCCCCAACAACTCATGATTTGTTTTCTTCTCTTTGTTTTTTTCATTTTAGACATCACTGTAATCTGCCCATGGGAGGCATACAGCCATCTAGAGCTACATGAGCTTGCCCAGTATGGCATCATCTGATCATCTCCGCTGTGAAGTTGTTTTAAATAAATGTGGCAAATTTTGAATTTCAGTATTTAGTTTCAATAATCTGGATCATTAATACTGGCTGAAAAGGTGTCTTTATACGTCTGCATGCTGTGAATGCTGTTCTTTTTTCTTATATATTTTATATTGTAAACCTAATTTTATAATGATCTCAAGCTGCCATGTTCACAAAACGTGTATCTCGAATGTGTTCTCGTGTTATTGCTTGAGTCTGTGGTTTTAGCTAGAACTCTGTTAGCTTGGTTTCTGCACAATCGTCAGCACTGTCTTTATCATATTTAATCAAAGTCTTGAATAAATGTTGACATTTTTAACACAATTTCAGTAATTTGATTTTGTCCTTTTATTTAACGGTTATTTACTGACCCACACTGCGCATGAGACATTACATAATTCCCATCATAAATACCATCTGTAATCATCATTATTTATTCAATATTTGTTAACACTCAGAACACAAAACTTGCTTTTAGCAAACTAGTCAGTTCATTCAAAACAGCGCAGGAAACCTTTGCATGTGTGGGACGTGCACATGTGTTTCACATATTTGCAGCAGGTTGTCCACTGTCAGTCACTGAAAGGTGCTTTTACAATCTTACTCTAGTCATTCTTCTGAGCTGTTCCATTTATTCTGATCTCAGCTCAGAATAAATGAATTCCATTTTTGTTTATTGATTATTTTGTTAGATTGTAGGTGCTTGTGATGAAGATGAAGATGCAGATCTAATCTGCAGGACCTCTACTCCCCAGGTGACCCATTTACAATCACTCCTATGCTGTTGAACTGTTTCACCATTTTGAGATCCTCCAAGAATCCTTCAAATATCAGGAGGTGTGTGTCTTTGAAGGATTTGGGCACATGTGGTGAAAACGTTTTGGTGATTGTGTCACTACTGTCCCATAAACACACACACAGATACAGTTTCAACACTTTCCTTGGTCTGACCCACATTGGTGAAGTTAAAATCTTTCAAATCACACCTGTTCCCTATTCAGACTGATTCGATATTTCAGTTAATGAGCAGTTCAACAAGTGTACCTAATGAAGTGGCCAGTGAGTACATGTTCTTGAAAAGTGGAGTTTTTTTTTTTTTTTAACACAAAAGAGGTGATCGCTATCGCCAAGCTGCAGTTAACGTTTAACTCAAATACTTTTTTTTCTTAAACTCTCAGGCATTTTTAAAATGTAAAACATTTTCAGTGGATAATTTGTGTTGGAATTTGCTTTCCTCATTTAAATTGTGTCTCATTTCCATTTGCAAAAGTTCAGTCTGTGTGTTTACAGTCAGGTTGTTTTAAATAATTGACAAATGAAGCCAGAATTTTAGCACAGCCAGAACTCATTAAACCCCAACCAGCATATTGCTGTATTCGTCACTCCGTGTTATAGCTATACTTTATGACGATTAATGCGTTCCAGCAGTCGTATGGTAATAAATAATATCAGAATCTGGACCCCAAACACGACAGTCACAATTATTCCTATCAGGCCCTCGTGCTGCTCGATCCATCGAGAGATTTCCCCCAGACAACCTCCCAGGAAGATCACACTCTGAGCAGTAAACTCATCCAGTAATTGGGCTCCGACACCACACTGAGAGTTCCACACTGTGCCGTTCTCCAGAGGATCCACGCAGCATGTTGCAGGGACACCGCAGGCCAGCACTCCTGGAGCTGAGCAGTTGTAATATCTGAAGAAAGGGAAAAATAACCCAATAAAAAAACTTCACAGCTCATTAACTTCTTCAACACATTCCTACATCGTGACCAACTGGCTTTGATTTACTTTCAAAAAAGTAAAAAAAACAAAAGATTTCCAAGTTGCTCACATGTTAATCTCCCAGTCTCTGTAGTTGTCCGCCCCACAGCACTGCAGATTTGACTGAATCTCGTCTGTGATGAACCTCAGATCCAGATCATCTTGGTACCGTGCGATGGCAACTAACATCCCGGATCGCAAGTTACCTTCAATCTGATCTTGTAGAGTATGGGCCACAATGGCGACGATGACTTGAGCCGCGATGAGCACCAGCACCGTGGCTGAGAACAGCTTCAGCAAGCAGCGATTCTCTCTTAGGGCACCCACGCAGCCTGACAGGCACAGCACAGTGAGCAGAAAGCCCACGCTCAGAACTACCAGCATTGGGTCAGTGCCAATACTGCTGATCTTCTCCTGAGCAAAGGATTCCTTGCTAATGAGACCCCAAACCCCCAGAGCAAGAAGCAGCAGGCCCAGAACTGTGAACAACAGATTGCATATGATAAAAAAGTATTTTAGGAAATAGTCCATGAAAGAATAACTGTACCAGGGATCTATCCTGGCATCTGTGGGACTGTTGTGTTGCTGTCCGCTGTTTGTCCCTGCTTGAAAATCAGTAGTGACCAAAGCAAGCTCCTCAGCATTGTTTGTAGATCCTGCCTTTAGACACACAAGAATGCCACAAAAAATTAAAGCCACCCCAGAAATGTAAATACAGGTGAACAGAGGAACACAGTATTCTCAAACTAACCCAGTAACACACCTACCTTTGGTAAGAGAGGACTGGTCTCATTCGGAGTAGCATCTCGTCTCAGCCATGGCCAAGGGAATCTTTTTCTAGGCAAAAATCTCCTCATCTTGTCAACCACTGGGAAACATCAGCTGGTCAGAATGACACAGGATAAAATGTAACACAGGGCAATCATTTGCTACAATACAGAAAAGCATGTGAGCTGAGCTGGAGTAACCATTGCTATGCTTAGCCTCGGGGGTGGGATTTCTTCATCATGTGAGAGTCACAGTGAGGGGATTAAAAGGGTATCGCAGCATGTCGGAGACACACACTCACACAAAAGTGGGCATCCGAATAGAAGTAGGTACTTTTTATTCAACTCTACTCATGTGCAATAAAGCAGGACCTGGATAATATATTGCCCTACAGTGGGACCCATGGGTCAAAGACTCACAAAAATGTCTCCTGATGGGGATTACCACAAAAGGAAGAAAGTAGAAAACATATTTTAAAATCCTTGCTTTAATTTTCCAGAAACCTGGAAAATGTGTTTTAGGCCTCAAAAAAGAAACAACATTGTAGCAACTGGGCAACCACTAAAACCAGTTTTAAGTTTCAGAATCTACATAGATTCCCAGCTTTCGTGCTTTTTATAATGAGGATTTTCCAGGTGCATTTCGTTTCCTGCTGTGTATGCAACTTAACATTTATCACTGGATTAACAGAGACTAATCATATCATATCTGTCAAGGTAAACGTTCACTAGTTAGAGCTGGTTGGCCATGCAGTCAGGTATCATGCACAAGAACTTATAATGACAGTTTCTTCTAATGTTTACAAAAAGTTCAGAAAACCGAGACTCTTCTAACGTGAATGAATAATCATGAATAATCCCAGACAAAGAACAGAAAAGCAAATGAATTGTCATATTTATTAAAAATAAAACACGCTTTACTAACCAAGAGGAATTCAACACTTCTTAGAAGACTGAGTAAAATGTTTGGTCCTGGAGTTTTTAATCAGAAACAGCATCTTGCATTCCTTTGTGAATGACCTTAGTTGTGTTCAGAGTAACTTCTATATGATATCATGCTGCACAACAAGTCAGCCTCTAGTAATGATGCACGTACCTCTTTAAGTCCACAAAACACATGAAATGAGTAAAGTCTTTGAAATGTGTAATTTTTTTTGGCAGGTTTGTAAAAACGGTTAAAAGAAGCTATTGTATGGGTGAAATATGAATCCACTGTGGAAGATTGTGCTTACTTACTTAAAAAAAGCAAATATGTATGTTTGAACTTTATACTTAAAAGGTTTATGAAGACAGCTTCTAACATCCCAACATTAGCAAATTACTTAGTGCTCCACATTTTCTTCCTAATATAGTAACCCGTGGCTCCAAAATACCAACATGACCACAGCTAGAATGCTAAAATCAGCCTTCAAAATATGATGAAATCAATGGAGGAAATTACAGGAGCATGTTTTACATAAAGTGAAAGAAATGTAGAAGTGTCAATTCAGTTTTAGTTAAATTTAAAATGTTTTAACCTAAAAACCTTACAAATTATTCCTTGAAAATAATCCCTCGAATTAACTCCCTGCCTCTCAGACTTATCAGGGTTTTTTGCTATCAGTCAAATGAGATGAAACACCACCCAAACACAGATGAAATGGTCATAGATTACCTTCTATAACAAATAAGAAGAAATGCAACAGTTCTCATTGTGGAGCTTCTGTTTGTATTTAACACCTGATATATTTCACAGTAAAAATCCTCTGTTGTTCTGATAAAGTCGTTATGAAGTGATGTGCTACTGAAAGTCAATAACAAGCAGCACATGAGAGAGCAGATGTGACACTGAGTGAAAAAGCAGAGGGAGAAAGCGAGGCCTGGTTATCTCACTCTCTGGCTCTGCTGGTCCACTGCACTCATTCTTTCCTCTGGCTGTGCCGAACTGAGCTGCAGGGAAATGGAAGGACGATCTGCTCACTGCTGCAGGCACTGACTGGTGATGGACTCCAGGCTTGTAAGGCTTGGCTTTAGTCCTTCCATAAATTTGATTCCATATCCATATGATTAATAAAAAACAAAACAAAACATAGACATGCTCACTTATACTCGCTAGAAAATTATTTGTGGGTAAGTTGTGGGAATTTATCAGATAAAGTTTTAGCTTTTTACTGGGATGGATGAGTGGTGGAAAATAATTAAGTAATTTTAAAACAAATTACTTTCATTTTATGATACCTTTTAATCCGATTTTTTTTCACAGGTAACTATTTTAATGCTGCTATGTATATTTAGCAGGTGTACCGCTGCTGAATAGTTGATGACGCTGCACAAAAAGATGAAAAAAAGCAGAATATTGTCTTATATACTTTTATTTCTATAATTTAAATCCCATATAACCTACTTTAAAAATAAAGAAAGAAATAAAAGATCCGAATACTTTTTCCTTCGTTGCACATTAGGCAACTTTCACTGTTGGCCCTGTGGTTTCTCAGGTCATGGAAAATCTCACTGGGGAAAATGAACTCCAGCTTGTTAGGGTCAGCAGACAAATAACCACTATCAAAAAATGGTTTTTCATTTAGTTATAAATTATGAGCCTACGTTCAAATAAGAAAATATATTTATCGTGACTGATTGTTGGCAGAAAAAAAAAAGTTGGATGTCATCTAGTCGTTATTAAACAAATCTCCCTGTTTCCTTTTAAATCTTTTGGGAGGATGGAGATTTAAAAAGTATTTAGTTCCTGCCTGTCAGCGCTGAAGATGTATGGTCCGTGTGATGTGATGTTCATCCCACCTACTGCACATACAGTTTGGTATAGTGTCTGTGTGTGTAAAGGTGTTGCAGATGGCAGGGAGCGCTGCCCAGTTACATTCCTTTTCAGCAGTGATGGGTGCACCTCCGCTCATATATCAGCACAACTATCTGCAGACATCTGCAGACATCAGCATACCCAGCGGCACATCTTTCAAACAGAATGAGGAACTCTGATCTGAAATAAATCAAAGCTGGAATTTTATATAAAAAAATCTGGGACAGGAAAAAAGCACTAATGTTGTCCAATATTTTCATATGACCTGAAGCTGCTGGTTTTTGAGTAGAAGAAGAAGTAGAAAGATAAATAGCTGTTTGAAGACTATATAGGTTATAGACTGGGTGCACTTGCCTGTGGAAAACTATCCAGAGTATGAAATCTGTCTTAGCCATGAAACTACATGTCATGTGTTGCATCACTGCACATCAAATCTAAACCCACTTCCACAGTTATGTAGATTTATTAAGGTTGGCTCACATCAGACTGAGTGAACTAATGCAGTAAATCACACAGCAGCTTAGTAAAGTTAGAAATTAAGGCAGCTGAGGTGTCAAGGAATATCTTCAGGGCTGCATAATTTTAATTTTTGCTATCTTAAAGTTATTCTGGGACTCTAACCCCTTTTCTAATTCTGTGATGCTTTTGGATATTCTCCTTTTTTCTATTAATATGGTTGAATGTGTGTTTTTTATTGTCCCATTTGCATCAAGTGAGTGCAGCTCACCAAGTTTTGATCACCCTTGACGGTTAAAGTGTTGCTGGCTGGATTTGTCGTAGTCCAGATGTTGAGCAGATTGTATTACAGTAGGCAGTAAGAATGTTATCCTGGAGCCATACTTCTACATCAAACACCTTCTGTGGATTGGAGCCTACGTGGAGCACAGTTGTCACATGCCACCCACACAACCTAAAAGACACGTGGAGCAGAGATGGGGCATCAGAAATGATCAGGACCTCCTATTACGGTTATTTTAGAAGATGCACAGTCTATAAGATACGAGAGATGAGGCAAGAGTGGGACGCATATGTGTGCGAGTGGGTTTAGGGAGATTTTGTTTTTTGTGCACGTGAATGCTGCAGTGTGCACACATGCTAAAAGAACTGAGGATGTCACCGCCCTGAATCAGTGACGTGGATGGGATCAGGTGGGGAAATTGGAGTTTGTGGAAAGAGTTATAAGGGAGTTCTGCACAACTCATGTTTTCTCAGTGTGTCACTGCTGTAGGATCATACAGTACAGAGACTGTGTTCTGGTGCTCTGATCTGAGAAGACTCCTGGCACTTCTTTGCAAAAAAGGTAGCGTAAAAACCCAAATTTAAATTTACTTTCTTGCTCTTTTTGGAACAAAACTAAACAATTTTTTTTATAGCTTAAAAAGGTGAACAAAAGACAAACTTATGACTGAACTAATTTCTCATCAGCTTTTCTTCAACCGAAAGACTGTTTAGTATTTTTTTAACATAGCTTGGCAGCACTTTTCGGTGAGCTTGCTCCTCAGCAGCACCCACAGCCTATATTATTGTGTTTGTTAGATGAGAACGAAGAGGATGAAGTTGGCTCTCATTATGCTGTGCATGATGTCAGCGTGTGGAGCTCAGAAATCGAAACAGGAGACATCACGCTGGGAACCTAAAGGTCTGAAAAAGATTTTTAGTAATGTGACCTTTGACCACTGAGGTTGTGTTTCTAAAACTTGGAGTGAATAATAACCTGTTTGTTTATACGGTTAAACTCTGTGTTCAGCAGTACAGACTAGTGCCAAGACTTGCTCAAACCTGACTCAGGTGCTGGACAACTGGAAATTTGCTATTCTGACCCAAGTGAAAGACTTGCTGATCAATGACCACGCTTCAGTCCTTCCTGAATATAACAGGTGAGTTATATCAGCTTCTGATTAAACTGGATGTACACAGCAATGATAGCAGACAGACGAGTCTAAATGTTAAGTAAGAGTAACGTCAAACGTCCAGGAAAAACAACGCTCGGTGATGTCAGTGAACATTTGACTCGTCCTCGGGGTTTGTTGAAATGAAGACTTATGTAATCTGCTCTGTGCTGCACATGAATTGTCAGTGCCAGTAAAGCGATCAATGATTGCTGTTGTTCACATGAGGCCAGCTCTGCTTCGTAAATGACCTCAGTGTACTTACTGTGCCAAAATACAATCGTGGGTGTTTCATCATGCTCTGGCAGACATTACTCCAAGTCAGTGAACATTTCATCTGGTGATTAGATTCTGAACTGTGATTGCAACACTTAGGATCACAGTTCACCAGAACTTTTCCCAGTAAACATCTAAGGTCAGCCTAAGCGCCCGTCTCTACTGGGCCAAAGCTCTGCTATGTTTTGCACTTTCATTTTTTTCAGGGGACATCCGACCTTTACGTCTGCTATCCTGATGTTTTCCGTCGACAGTGAGGCTGTTTCCACTTAACAGCATGTCGTGACTTTCCTGTTTATGCTGCCAATTAGACTTGGTTCTCTTCTTAGTTATGTTTTGCCAATAAACAAGGTTCCTGTTTCATGAACTTACAGTGCCAAAGTTCTTTGAATGGTCATTCTGATACTGAAACCATTTACTTTTCCACGTGTCCTCTTTTATGTCCAGGATCCAACCTCTTTCAGATGCTCTGGGAGACCTCTACCGGCAGTTTAACACTTTAAAGGATGAGCTGGGAAAGTTTACCACAAAGCTCGACAGAATGGAGGCTTTCGTGGATGAGCTCAGGGACGGCAGATACGCCCTGCCTCAGCGGCCTGTACATAGGCTCCAACCGAGCTTTGGTCTTAGGTCTCCTCTGCGTGCACAGATGAGGGGTCCTGAAAGGAGGATAATCACTAGCCCAACACTGAGAAGGGCAAGGAGGAGAGGACCACAGCAATCTTAAACATGTTGGGTTTTTTGTTTGGTATAAATGCAGATTTGTTGAAAATAAATGTATATATATTTTTCAGAAGAAGAGGATTGTTTTATACTTTTTCTTTGATGAGTATGGTCAAAAAAAGCTAAATAAAATGGTTTTAATTAAACTTTATTAAAGCAAACTATAGCCACCTGCTGTTACCAAATCACAATAAACCACAAGGTGGCAGCATTTATCAAATTATCTTCACTATATGCTGTTTTTGCATCAACGGGCTGGACTTAAAGTCAAATAAATGGCTAAACATGTAGTTAAGGAGTGTTATATATTACCTCATTATGATTTTTTATTACTTTAATTAGCATTGCAAGCCATTGGTTTGTATTTGATTTGTTTATCCAGATACTTATTAAATTATAGATTCAGTGCAACTCCTTGAGTGTACTTGGAGCTTTTTTTTTTACAGATAGTATTTTACAATGTGTTATCGCTTCATAATCACAGCAACAGTAGCAGTGCTGCTATGCAAAATACTGCATCTCGTGAAACACGGAAACTTTCAGGTGGAGTAACTACCTTCGGAGAAGAACTTATGAACCACTAATCACTTCAACCAGGAAAGAATAGAACTGCAGAGCTACATGATTACTTCCAAGAACTACTTCCATCCATCCATCCATCTTCCTCCGCTTTATCCGAGGCCGGGTCGCGGGGGCAGCAGCCTAAGCAAGAACTACTTGTTAAACAATAAAATAAAGATGAAGATCACAATGTTCAAACTCTGGAGGCAAAATATACAAAAAAGTTACAGGCCTACAACAAACACTGCTCAGCTTAGTTTCCTGTCAAAAGTTCTTGCTTATTCACAGGTTGTTCATACCCCCAAATTTCTAACAGCCAGACGCATCAGTGGTCATACGTCCTCTTACACAAGTCTGGTGGTATTTGACTGACCAATAAACTACTGGGCAGATATTCAAAGGAACATGTTTTATCAAAGGGGTTCAAAACGAAAAAACAAAACAAAAACATAGTGACTATCCATCCATTTCTCCTTTCTAGGGTTGCTGGAGCCTATCCCAGCTGTCATAGGGCAAGAGGCAGGGTACACCCTGGACAGGCCAGTTGGTCACAGGGCTAACACATAGAGACACAGACAACCACCTGCATGTCTTTGGACGGTGGGAGGAAGCGAGAGCACCCACGCAAACGTGGGGAGAACATGCAAACGCCACACAGAAAGACCCCCGGCCTGAAGGTGGAATTGAACTCAGGACCTTCTTGCTGTACGGCAACAGTGCTAACCACTGTGCCACCGTGCTGCCCAGTGAATGTACCCTGCAATATGAGCAGGATGCTAGCTTTCAAAACCCTGCCCATGTGATTAATGATATTATATAACGATGTACATATGTCTGCTTGTTACCTGCTGAAACACCTTGACTGTTTTTCATTCACCCAACCTTTGGTATTCACCTTGATTAGCAGAACAAATAATAGCAATGACAGAATTGTGTTGTTAACAGAATCTTAATTCCAACAAAGTGGATCAACAGTAAATCCTGAATTCAAATATATATATAAAATAAAACGGCTCTAAAATGAAAACACATTTAGATTTATTGTAAAAAAAAATCTCAAACATTTACAATATTTGAAATAAGTTGGAATTTGATCTAAATATGCAAATTCTTAGAGTTGAGTTGTGATCAAAAAGTTTTTAGTATTGAAGCCCCTCCTCCTCTGCTTACTCTATATAATCCTCAGTCTCTTTTCATTATTCAGTTCAGCTCACCTCTCACCTGGACAGTAAAGAGAATACGCTATACTTTCAACATGCTGAGAACCTTCTGTACTCTTATTGCTCTAGCATGTAAGAGTGGCTACTGGTTCATTTTATAGTCTGTATTTAGAAACATAAAACTTTATTTAAATATTAATTAATTTAAACATTCTTTTTTTCTCTGACAGGTGTGGATGCTGCAAAAGTGTTGACCCAGACACCACCTGTCCACACAGTTTCTCCAGGAGAGGAGGTTCTGCTCAAATGCAACATTCAGAGACCTGAAAACAATTATGTCAGCTGGTACAAACAGGTCCCTGGTTCTACTCCTCAGTATATTCTGAGATTTTACCATGAGCACAGTTCACCCAGCTTTGGAACAGGATTCTCCTCAGACCGATTTAATTCTAAAGCCTCATCAAACATTGATTATCAGTTTATCATTAATCGGGCAGAAGCAGGAGACTCTGCTGTGTATTACTGTAACACATGGGACAGCTCTGCTCAGGAGAGTGTATCACAGTGATTTACACTGTGACAAAAACCTCTGTACAAAGTACTTCTGCTTTCAGAGGCTTTGACATTTTGTTAACAATGACTATGTGTCTGCTAGACATCCAACTGGATCATAGATAAGGTTAACATATATGAAGTGTCTTTGGGCTTGCAGACTTCAGAGAAAAATATCAAGGATATCAGAATATCCTACTCAATAACAGAGGACCAAAATGAGCATTTAAAATCTTCTTGCACATTGATTTTGCTTTTTACTGATTACCAAACATGTTAAAATAAAACAAAAGGGTTCAATGACTTTTACTGGACATTTAACATTACCATAGTAAGAATAAATAAAATTTTGTGCTGTGTCACATTTGTAGACCTGGGACAGTTAAAGGCATGAGTGTCACTGGTTTAAAATGCTTATTTTAAACCTGCAACCTTCACACTCTGTTAGTAAAGCATCACCTCTCTACTCGTCCTTCTCTTTTTTTCCCAGAATGCACCTGCAAGTCTGAGGATCTAATTTATAACGTCAGGAAAGTTGTAAAAGAGAGTTAAGGCCTTTCTAAAAGGAGACGTAACTGCCCCTGACTGGAAATGTTGTATTTCACTATACTTTGGTAATTCAGGGAATTAACTGAATACTGCTTTGGTTTTGTCCAAGAATAACTTTATTTATTATATAAGAAGCAGTAAACAATGTCCAGCTGTACAACTTTCGCAGCTCTGTTGTTGTCATACAAACATTTGATATGAAAAATGTTGATTTTTAAACATTTAGTTGCCATTACTACTTAATCCTAATTTTTAAATGGCTAGTACACATAAAAGTCTGAGCTGCAATGAAATGACTGTTTATGGTGCATTTTAATGTTAAAGAATCCAGTTTGCAGCAGATTTTTTTTGTGTGGCTGATCTGAATTTAGATACTATAAAAAATCTCCTAATATAGATCCTTGGATTAAGCTGTTGTAGCTATTTTTACGTAACGTTTATGTTCAACAATAAATCAGTTTTGTATTCCTGCTTTTTAAACAGATCCAAAGATTATGTGAAAATAGAAGTGGCAAAAACTTACAAAAACTTTCTTATTTGCAAATAAAACAACCAGATAAAATGTATTGATTCACCTGACTACACACACTTTGTTATTTAACTTAACAGGAGATTAATCCCAACAAAATATGTCCTGAATTTAAATATATTCATAAATAAAAATAACACTGCTGTAAACTGAAAACATATTTAGTAGACTTATTCTTAAAGTAAACATTTATGATATGTAAAATAATTTTGAGTTTGGTGTAAAACCCTAATTTCTAGTTGAGTTGTAATAGTACAGTTTTCAGTATTGAAACGCCTCCTCCTCCACTCCTTAGTTATTAAAAGTCTCAGCCTCTCTTCATTGCTCAGTTTACCTCTCAGCTGGACAGCAAAGAGAATACACCGTACTTTCAACATGCTGGGGACCATCTCTACTATTATTGTTGCTCTAGCATGTAAGATAATCTTCTGGTTTATTTTATAGCCTGCACTTTGAGAGTTAAAAACAGACTTAGTGCAATTTTTTTCTCTGACAGGTGTGGATGCTGCAAAAGTGTTGACCCAGACACCACCTGTCCACACAGTTTCTCCAGGACAGGAGGTTCTGCTCAAATGCAACATTCAGAGACCTGAAGGCTATTATGTCAGCTGGTACAAACAGGTCCCTGGTTCTAATCACAGTTCACCAGACTTTGGAACAGGATTCTCCTCAGACCGATTTAACTCTAAAGCCTCATCAAACATTGATTATCAGTTTATCATTAAGCGAGCAGAAGCAGGAGACTCTGCTGTGTATTACTGTAGCACATGGGATAACTCTGCTCAGGAGAGCGTATCACAGTGATTTACACTGTGACAAAAACCTCTGTACAAAGTACTTCTGCTTTTAGAGTCTTTGATGTGTCATTTAGACTGTTTGTCTGCAGCTGCCAATAAAAACACAAATCATCAGACACATCCATCCTCTACAAGTTTATAGATTATATGAAATTATTGTATCTGTACACATTTTAATTATATATTATCCCTGAATATTATTATATTCAGGGATAGCCTTTGTTTTGTTTTGTTTTTTCAGAAATAAATGTCTGTACTGACTCAGTGTCTTATGCTGTATATTTTTGTTTTACTGAATTGATTCTGTATGTTTTTGGATTATGTCCTATTTTCAGACTTCAGCCTCCCTCCTCCTGTCCTGACAGTCTACCTTCCATGCAGTGCTGAGCTCCAGTCCAACAAAGCCTCTCTGGTCTGTCTGACCATCCAAACATTAGACTGGGTGAAATGTCCTTGTGAAAACCATCAAGAAGTCATAATGTCCCAATGAATAGTAGATGCCTGTGCAAGTAGGTAATATAGCTGATACAATTACTTATAAAGCCAGACAAGATGAAAAGAGAGCAACATCATCTTTATCCACAGCTCCTCCACCATTTGGTACTATTAAATGACACCTCAAGCTCATTCTCTCTTTAGTCTATAAAAACACTGACAACTGGCTGATGATTCTCTGCACTCTCATCAAAGTTCTATCATGTGACTGCAGATTAATGCACAGATGTCATTGTCTGTTTCTCTTGACTCCAGGTCTTCTTGTTGTTTGCAGGTGTGAGTGACACAGAAACTTCCTGCTGTATCAGTGTGAAAAGGAGAGACAGCCAGCTCGGACTGTCTGCTCGTTGACATAAACATATTCCAGGAGGAAACAATCAGCATGTACTGCAGTTTCCTCATGACTGGAGTTCTCAAAAAATATTGTTCAGGTTTCTCCTCTCAAAATTCACATCGAGTCGTCAGTCAAAATCAGATTATCATCATCAGTGTGGAGGAGGGAAACTCTACAATCTATTACTGTCAGGGGACAGCTTCACAAGGGATGCTGCTTCACTAATTTACACTGTGACATAAACCTTTTCACAGATACTTCTGCTTGTTCATACTTTATACTGATCACAGAGCTGTCAAACAAACTCACCAGCTGCACACAGTTGGAGATGTGAGTCCTCACTTGTTCTGAGATGTGACCATTCTGACGGCTCATCCAGCTTTACAACAAGATTCTCCTCGGACTGATTCACCTCTATTCAACTTTATTACCAAGCAGGCAGAGGCAGGAGACTCCGTTTGCTATTTGGTGGCTGTGCTGATGAAGCTGAATCACATTGATTGAGGCTGTGACAAAAAAACTAAATTGGAGACATTACAGTTTAAAAAAAATCCAACATTACTAATCTCAAATCATTAAATCTCAAACAGAACATGTAATGGGATTACATTAGTGGTTGGAGGCAGATGGTAGATGGCATTTCTGATTTCAGCTTAACTTACAGAGTCATCCCATGTCTGACAGAAATACTGAGTAGAACAGTGACTCAGACTGTGACAAAAACCTGAGATACAACTTTCATGACATCTGAAAAACATCAAACATAAACACACTTCTTTTCAAATTATTTTCAGCTTTTATAAGCATTACGCTAAGTAATCCTCCCTTTTTGTTAAAGGTAGGGTTTAATTTTTGTTTCAATTATCTACTTGATATCACTTGTTGAGAAACTTAAATCTATCTTTAAATTCTGAAAAGGGATCAAGTTAAAACACTGCAAAATCATCATGAAGGACATGAAAAGATTGTAAATATTAAAAAAGAAAAAGAAGGAAAGAAATAACAACAAGAAGATGATGATGCTAAAGACATTACCAAGTCAAGTCAAGATGAAAAATATACATATGTACTTTTAAGCTCCTCCTCCTGTTAGTCGTATTAAAAGGCTCCTTCAGCACCTCCTCTCTTCATCCTACAGAAGCAGTACAGCCACTTTAAAGTTACAAATTAAAAGTGCATTCTCAGCTCACACCGATAACATGCTGGTGACCCTTTGTGCTCTCATCACTGCTCTGACATGTAAATACCTTGACTTATATTGCACATATTTAAACTAATGTCAGTGTGTTTCTCTTGACTTCGTGTCTTCTTGTTGTTTGCAGGTGTGAGTGGTGTGACAGTGGTGACACAGAAAACTGTGCTATCCGTGAGCAAAGGAGACACAGTCACCATGGACTGTAACCTGGGGACTGTTACTGACAGTGCTGCTCTGTGGTATAAACAGATTCCAGGAGGAGTTCCTCAGTATGTGCTGTATTTTTATTATAGCTATAGTTCTCCACGCTATGGCTCTGGGTTTTCCTCTCCAAAGTTCACATCCACTCATCAGTCAACATCAGATTATCGTTTGATCATCAACAATGTGGAGGAGGGAGACTCTGCAGTCTATTACTGTCACACATGGGATGACTCTGCTAAAGAGGAGGTATCACAGTGTTTTACACCATGACAAAAACCTCCTCACTGTTACTTCTGCTTTTTTTTTCAGTGAGCAGTGGGATCTCTACCAGCACTGCTGTTCCGACACCAGCACAGACTTTCCAAATCAGCAGTGTCTTTGTGAAAACCATCAAGACACCAGAATGTCACACTTAATAGATACCTGTGTAATGCATGTGCTGTTTGCTCATTTGTTTACATTTTAGAAATCACAAAAAAGGTAAAAAGTTTAACCCACATGTGCAGACTTATGCACAGATGTCATTGTCTGTTTCTCTTGACTCCAGGTCTTCTTGCTGTTTGCAGGTGTGAGTGACACAGAAACTTCCTGTTGTATCAGTGTGAAAAGGAGAGACAGCCAGCTCGGACTGTAACCTGAGGACTGCAACTGACCAGTCTGCTCGTTGACAAAAACATATTCCAGGAGGAGACAATCAGCATGTACTGCAGTTTCGTCATGACTGGAGTTCTCAAAAAATATGGTTCAGGTTACTCCTCTCAAAATTCACATCAACTCATCAGTCAAAATCAGATTATCATCATCAGTGTGGAGGAGGGAAACTCTACAATCTATTACTGTCAGGGGACAGCTTCACAAGGGATGCTGCTTCACTAACTTACACTGTGACATAAACCTTTTCACAGATACTTCTGCTTGTTCATACTTTATACTGATCACAGAGCTGTCAAACAAACTCACCAGCTGCACA